CCGACGGTCAATCAATGAGCAACTTCTTCATCGCATGGGGCAAATCCGTCCGTGGTGCTCCGATCGACCCTCTCCCGATTTACGACCGATCATGGCTCAAACCGAGATCTCCTCCAAAATGCTCAATCGAGCACTGGGGCCACGAGTTCAAACCCATCTCCCCAAATCAAAAGTACGCTTTCCCGCCAATTTACGCGACCACGGATCCCGGCAACATAGCCAACGTCCTACTGCACTACTCTTCAGACTTCATATCCACCAAGCTGAAGTCACAAGTCAAACGAAAACTCTCGACTTTCGAGGTATTGTTAGCCCACATATGGAGGAAGATCACGATGTCTCGCGGTCTCAACGACGAAACCAGCATGTTGGCTAAAGTCTCTGTCAACGGGAGATGTAGACTGAAGCCTGCGGTACCAAACGAGTTCTTCGGTAACTTAGTTCTAACCGCGCATCCTCAAGCAAATGCGAAAACCCTACTTCAGGGAGATTTGGAAACGGCGGCGAGTATTATCCATGAAGCGGTTCGTGATACCGACGATGAGTATTTTCGATCTGTGATAGATTTTGGGGCGATGAATGAGGGGGAGGAGTTGGTGAGGGTTGACGATGATATTAGTACGAACGTGATGTTGCCGGATTTGGAGGCGGATAGCTTGTTAGGGTTTCGGTTTCAGGAGCTGGATTTTGGCGGCGGCGGCGAGTTGTGTGCTTTCACGCTAAGTTGGGTGCCGTTGGATGGGCTGGTTGTGCTTTTGCCGGCGTTGGAGAAGGACGGAGGTGTAAATGTGTTCGTGGGATTGTTGGAAGAGCATGCTAGGGTTTTGAAGGAGATATCACACTCATTGGATTAGATTTATAAGCGTTAATTAACTTTATGAGCCTTTGGTTTGTGCTTATTAATCAGTAGATTAATCAAATAAAAACGAGCTTGTGTTTGGGAAAAACCCTTTTATCCTCTATTTGAACTCCTTTTTTGTCTGGATGAGGAGCAAAGTATAATCAACTTCATCCAAAGTATAATCAACTATAAACTCATTAAAAGAGTACATGGATCTGTGTGTCTCTGCACTGTACTGGTTGGCGTGTGGTTTACGTGGCACATATCTAAATCATCGAGTGTAGTCTAACGTATGCCATGTTGACATTCTGAATATGTTGATAATCTAGACTGTAGTGATCTGAGATGTATGCCTCATTAGCTACACTTACACGTTGCCCGTCAACATCACGGAGACACCAATACTCATTTACTATAATTTAAATATCTTTTAGTCTGAGCTAGGTCTCAGTAAGAGTCGTAATGACCAGTTATCTTGTAGAGTTGCACTCTAGTAGAACATTCAACCAGCAAAATACTACTTTTTTAAAGTCATATTTGTAACTTAAGTCTAATAAAAGCGTATGACAGGGTTAATTCTATTATGCACCACATTTTCATCTGTAATCAATGATCACTTCAAAAGAAAAGATTTGAATCCGTACGACTCTACCCTATGTTACCCGGGTAGTTCTATTTGGAAGCCGTACACATACCAAACACGTAGCCGTGCTCATACCCAATCCAAACTTCTTAGACACTTCTTGAACATGGGGATATGGTGTTTGAGCTAATTATACTCAATTATATACTGTATGTTTTAATTTAAAACAGTACTCCTCATAAGCTTCTTGGATGCATATTTTCCACTTCACATCTATTTCTGCTATATTGATCTTATGTTTATTAGTTTTAATACATATAAATGTACATCACATATGTATTGATTGCCCGTCTCCATACCCTATTTTCTTTATAAATTTGACGTGTCCCGTACCCTCGCCAGTACCCATACCAGAATCCATGCAACTTAGAGTCTCTACCAAATAGAACCAGTTCAGTCTCGTTGCAAACACTAAGCTTGGCTCATATCAAGAATTCATGAAAGCACCCAATTTTAATTTGTAGGCTTTCATTAGCCAAGCAACCTAACTATTGGGGCGGAGTCATGCCCTCACGTTGCGGAAGCGATATCAGCTGAGAGATAGCCCTGGCTTTTGTTGTCACAAAAGCACAAGTCAACCTCTGTATTCCCATTTCTCAAAGGAAACAAGAATAAAAAGTGAAATATACACTCTTCCTCTTATCAGTTCTAGGACTAAAATGTCGAGGGAACCTACAAGCAATAGCCACACCCAGAAAACAATAAATACACAAGATTTATGTGGTTCGACAAAATTACCTACGTCCACGGGAGGGGTGATAGGAGATTCCACTATGAGGAGAACATCGACGACTTGTACAATCCATAAGCTCGTCTCAAAGAAAAAAAATCTGATTTTTATACCCAAAAGAAATTGACCTCTCTCTTGTAAAATCTCTCTTTTTCTCTCATCAAGATCTCTCTTTCTCTCGCTCAACAACTGTCGCAATTTCCTCTACTCAGCCGCCAAAAAGAAACAAAAATCCCTTTGACTTTTGCGATTTTCCCCACACAGCAGCAAACCCTAGAGAGAGACCAGATATAAATAGGAAAGGACTTGGGCCTTGGCTTTTACCCGTTGGACTCGGCACGTCGGCTTTTACTCGCTGGACGTGGACGAGAGCTCCTTATCTCCTCACAAGGCACGTGGGTGGCCCCCACTCATAATTCTCCACCTCGTACATCATTATATAAACCTCAAATTATGGACGAATACCAGAAGAACACCACAAACATCACCAGAGAGATCTGAAACACCAAACCAGACCAGACCAGGCTAAAACCAGCTACGCCACTATACCGCAGTTGCCTACGTACCCTTCACTGGGATCAAACTAACCGTAGTTCTGCTATTGTTCTCCATCGTAGTCTCCACCTCACCTCATCATCGCGCTGAAGAGCCATGCCCTCTTGGGCAAATCAACACGGACTAATATGAAGCAAGTCCAAGCAATGCTTAAACTTGCTACCTGTGACCACCTTGGTTAACATATCTGCGAGATTCTCATTTGTGTGCACCTTCATGAGAGAAATATCACCTTCCTCTATGACATCCCGCATAAAATGATACCTGACATCGATATGCTTGGTACGAGCATGATGAACTTGATTCTTCGCCAAGTGAATCGTACTCTGACTGTCGCACCACAAGTTCACGTTCTCCTGCTTAATCCCCAAATCATCTAGAAGACCCCACAACCACAATGCTTCCTTCACTCACTCTGTCATGGCCATGTACTTGGCCTCTGTACTAGAAGTGTCACTGTAGCCTGTGACATAGATCGCCAACTAACTGGAGCTCCATGTATTTAGAATACATAACCAGTAGTAGATCTCCGTCTATCTAGATCGCACGTATAATCTGAATCAACAAATCCATCAATCTGATATGTATCTCTACCAAAACACAGACTCGTATCCGCGATACCCTTCAAGTACCTCAAGACCCACTTCACCGCTTCCTAGTATGCCTTTCCCAGATTTTCCATGAACCTGCTGACCACACTAACCGCCTGTGAAATATCTGGACATGTACACACCATGGCGTACATCAAACTGCCAACTGCACTAGCATAAGGAACACGCTCCATGTGTGCCTTATCTTCCGCTATAGTGTGAGATTATTTACCTGAAAGCCTAAAGTGTGGAGCCAATGGAGTCGCCACCGACTTTGCACTTTTCATCCCGAACCTTACTATCACCCGCTCTATGTAGCCCTTCTGACTTAAGAACAATCGTCGATTCACCCGCTCTCTTCTAATCTCCATACCCAGTATTTTTTTAGCAGCGTTCATATCCTTCATCTCGAACTCTTTACCAAGTTGAGCTTTTAGCCTATCTGTCTCCACCCTGCTCTTCGAAGCAATAAGCATGTCATCCACATACAAAAGGAGATAGATATAATCACCTCCATGAAGCTTCGGAATATAAACACAACAATCGTAATCACTTCGGGAAAACCCATGCTTTAACATGAAGGAGTCAAATTGCTTGTACCACTACCGAGAAGATTGCTTCAGTCCATAGAGTGACTTCCTCAAGCGACATACATGATGCTCCTTATCCTCAACCTTCTAGCCCTCAGGTTGATGCATGTAGATCTCTTCATCCAAGTCTTCGTGCAAGAAGGCCGTTTTAACATCAAGTTGTTTCAGCTCAATATCACCATGAGCGACAATACTCAATAACACTCGAATAGAAGTGTGTTTTACCACCGGAGAAAATATCTCATTGTAATTCATACCCTCTCTTTGTGCAAACCCTTTAGTCACTAGCCTCGCATTGTACCTTGTACTACCAAGCTCTGAAGGATCTTCCATTCTCTTATACACCCACTTACAACTAATAGCTTTTCTTCCTATGGGCAATAGGACTACCTCCCACGTTTGGTTCTTCCGAAGAGATTCCATCTCCTCTTCCATCACAGCCAACCAACTCTCACTATCCTTGTCCCTAATAGCTTCCTTGAAGGAGACTAGCTCATTTTCCTCCACCGAGAGTGCGTATTCCACCAAATTAACTTACCCATAGTGATTCAGGGGTTGATCAGCCCCCAGCTTTTGTACATGCTTGTATGCTCGCCTTGGCCTAGTGGAAGCCAAACTATCCTCGAGCTGTTATTATTGTAATACTTGTGTATTCTCCTACTAAACCTCCTCCTGCTCAAGCTCATCATCTACCTGATTTCCCACTTGAACATGACTAGAACCTGGTTGGTCTTTAGGTTCTATCTCAATAACCTAGGACTTTGAAATCCCAACAATTTCAGCACTATCATCCTTGGACGCCTTAGCAATCATGAACTTCTCATCAAAGGTATCATCCCTGCTGATTACTAACTTCGAATCTTCTGTACACCAAGGGCGATAGCCTTTTACACCTTTTGCATACCCCAAGAAAATTACCTTCTTGGCCATCGCGTCAAGCTTTCCCTCGTTGACGTGATAATAGACGGTACATCCGAAAATTCTGAGCCTCTCATAATCTGCATGCTCCCCTGATCATACCCTATAGGGTGTATTACCATCCAGTGTAGAATGTAAAGAACGGTTTATAATATAACATGTTGTGGCCACCGCTTCTGCCCACCATTCCTTGCCCAATCCAACATAAGATCGCATACACATTGCCTTCTCCCGCAATGTTCGGTTCGGTCTCTCAGCGATCCCGTTCTGCTGTGGTGTTGACCTGACTGTCCAGTATCGAACAATGCCCTCCTGATCACAGAACTCCTTGAAAGTACTATTTGTATACTCTGTACAGTTATCTGATCTCAATGTCTTTAATTTATTGCCTGTCCTGTTCTCAACCATTTCTTTTCACTTCTTGAATGTCTCGAATACCTCATTCTTATGCTTAAGAAAACAAATCTAAGCATACATAGAATAATCGTCTATGAACAAGACAAAATACCTAGAACCACCCTTGGAAGTTGTCTGAGCCGGACCCCAAACATCAGTGTGCACATAATCTAATATACATCTGCTCTTATACTTGCTTTTCAAGAACTGGACCCTGTGCGCCTTCCTGTACACATAATCATCGTAAAAATCCATGCAAGGTTTCTTCAGATTCTTCAGTAGACCCTCCTTACCAAGTAGAACTAGACCTTTCTCTGACATGTGCCCAAGCCGCCTTTAGTTCCAACCGCTGCATCTCCCGTCACTGTCATACCTGAGAGAGTATATAAATTACCGTGACAAACACCCTTCATCACTACAAGCGAACCCGAACAACCCTCTTCACTCAATTCTCTGTAACAATCTTGCAACCACCGGAGTCCAATGCACCAACTGAGATAAGATTCTTCCGCAAGTCGGGAACGTGCCTCACATCAGTCAAGGTTCAGACCACTCCATCATGCATCTTGATCTTAATATTACCTAGCCCCACCGTTTTACAAGCATGATTGTTCCCTAACAATACGGTTCCACAATCAATGCTTCTGTAGATAGTAAACTACTTCCTATTTGGGCACATGTGGTAAGAGCAACCTGAATCAAGAATCCACTTTCCGAA